CCTAAACAACGCTGCTATTCTGTTACTTTGTAGTGTATTCATGGTTGAATCATCATCCCACCTCTCACAGGCTTGATGAATCTGAGTAAACGTACCAAGATAAACCAACCAACCAATGAACAGGAAAAGCAGCGGGATCAGTAGTCATCTTGGGTTAGCTACATCTATGTATGAACAGAATCCTTTCTGTAAAAAGGAATCTTAAAACACACCCCATCCCCACCCATCCCATTTAGCATTATAGTTTATTCAAAAATAATCCTTACAGGTGAACTACCAACAGTAGAAGAGAGCAAAGTAGATGTATTCAAGTGTATGGGCAAGCTGTGGCCCATTTTGCTCTTAACCTAATTGGAAATCAGTTACAGTTCATTCACTGGCACCTCCAGAAATGCTTGGGAAGGTCTTGAGATGAGCCTTTATGGAGTGCCTAGCTTAGCATTTCTGAAGGTGGAATTAACTGATTTCCAATTAAATATGACTAAGTAAAACCTTTACAATTTCTAATCATCGCACACTGCACATGCTTCCTCCAAGACATTTTTAGAGATATAGATTAGCAAGAGCTAATTGAAAACCAAGGTTTAAAGTTCCATTTTCCCTTTAAACCATGAGTTCCAAAACCCTGTAACTTGACTGTAACACATCAGTCTTTGCTTAACCAGGATGCTACATGATCTTCAGCAATGTGTTGATTGGATAACAAAAGGATGGTTTTTACTTGTTGCAACACAAGTCATTTTTCCATTATACCTGGACATTCACAACCAATAACACTGTATAGAGTTTTGACAGCAAATCCAGAAATCCATAGGCCATTTCACCGATGCTTAAGAGAGTCAGTAACTCTTTAGCTTATTGAAGTAGTCTACCAGTAATGAATGGAGGAGAGAGGCACTTCATCTTACCACTGGTATATTTTCCTAAAGTTGATATTTCCACACCACATTGACAATTCTGCACAGAGGTCTCTTCTGTGAGTGACTTTATAGAGCTATACATGACTACCTGCCATTGAATGTGACCGATGATGAGAATGGAATGACTATGATGAGAGAAAAAAATGTTTATCACATTGTCAAAAACAACAAGGTGGTCTTTGTAAGAATAACTATTATTTAAAGGTAGTAACAAATCCAATGTGTCTGTTCTGCACTACAAGAATTTAATGTCAGTTTGACATCTGGAGTCACCAGGAGTATTTTGGTCAAAAGCTTGCACAATATATTGCATTTTTATATTTACTGAAAGACACATGCTATGTAGGTGATGGACTTCTTATCAGCTGGAACCCTAAATTCTATACAGAAGGGACAGCTGGCCAAATATCAGGCATGACTAAATATAAATAAAAGAGAAATAACAGATTTAATTTTCTTTACTTGGAGTGACATCTTTTTCTTTCCTTTTCTGTTTTTGAATGTTTCCTTATACAAAATGATATGGTTCAGTGCACTTGAAAATTAAAGACTACCGTATAAGATCAAGGGTTGAGTCTGTCCATTCATGAAAGGAAATTAAAATCACCACTAAAAGTCCTGCTTTTTATTATACTGATAGAAAGCACTTAGAAAATACCAGGTGGAAGAAACATATTCAGAATTTAATATACCTTTTGGTTTTCTGCACTTTTTGGTTAATATGTTAAAACATGTATATATGCAGAGTTGGCCATTAGTGGCCAGATTCTAATCTTATTTACTCTGTCCTAACCCCATCTGTACTGAACTGTAAACTCAGACAGGTTAAATCTCTAGGCACAAACAGTAATTCTCCTCAATACAAGGAATTAGTAAGAACAAAATGATTCTGAGGCTAGTTAAATAATTTATGGCATTAAACTGAACACAATATTAAAGATGTGTAAACTAAATTCACTAACATTGAAAAGTGCTTTCCTTTTTCAATCTGAACAATTTTGATAGTCATTGCAGGGTGTTGCCAGTGAATTACACTTGCCACTTCTCAGCTAAACTTTCTACCACTTTATTCATGTTCTTCTTCTGTAACCTACTTTACATTGATTTAATCAATCTCCCTTAAACACATAAAAACTTAGTTCATGCTTCTTAAAATGTTTTATAATAGCACATTTAATAAAGCTAATTTAAATCTGCTAATTTATAGAGATTTGCCAGAGGCTTTGAAACTTCAGAAAAAGTGTAAACTTAACAGTTTGGCTGTGATAACAGCTTAGACAGTGAAAATTAAGCCCTTTGCATTATAATCACGTTCAAAATGGATTCCTAGATTTACTGAAGAAAAAAAAAAAGAAGTACATTTTGAAAACATAGAAGTAAACCATATTTACAAAATATTTTTCAGGACTAAGATATATATTCACCCAAGTTTGTCATTTCAGATCCACGTGCCATAATTCTTTAAATTCTTTAATTTGATCATTACTCTGCCTCAACATCACAGCCCCAAACATACATTGAGGTCCGTAATTTTAAGATTACTTCGACTTTTTTTTACAAACAAATTTTAGACAAATAAGAGCAGAGTCTCTCATGCAATAAACCTCTGACAGAGCTGTGAGATAATGTGCTCAGGGCCATTAATTCTGGGTCCCTAATTCTAGTTGTCAGTCTTCCAGCTGATGCTATATATGTTTGGTACTGTCTACTCTAATTTCTACCTCTTGAAACCAAACGATAATAGATTATATGCCAGTGTGGCAATAGGCAGTTTGGTTAGGATCCAGGCTGTATCCCAGGTGATAGCAAGAAGCAGCAGTGAAAAACAGTGTTCAGGGATATATCAAGGAGTTTCATCTCTGCTAGAGGATTTCTTCACCTTATACGTAGCATTTTAGACAGTAAGGAAGAGATCATTATCATCATCTGATTTGCAGGAAAGGTCAGCTTTCCTTGCACACAGAGTTGAAATTTTTAGGGCTACTGTTGCAGATCTCTCCCCAAATTGTTACATGGGAGAGGGCAGCAAAACCTACCTTTTGAAGACTCATAGGATGGCTATCTTTTAAGGGATAGCACCTTGTCGCTTTGAACCTTTTTTCAGTATCTGTAAAGTTCAAGTTATCTTTTAATTTTTTTTTCCTGTTAATTGCAGCAAAATATTCAGAAATGTAATCTGGAATATATTCTTGGACAAGGTTTTTTTAGTCTCTTCTCCTGCTTCAGTGTTCCTTCTTTTGGTTCTGTCATTGCTTTCTCTCCTGCTTTTGTGCACTGAGAATTAAGGTGTACTGCAACCAGTGGACACTTGCATAAACAGCCTGCTTTGAATAAAACAGCACGATCTTGGGAGAGGAAAAACACATTCAGCTTTCGTGTCCAAATGCTAAAACATATAAGAGGTTCACTAAAGCATCACATTTTCGCTTTGAGACCCCTGAAATGCAAGGGCTGTGAATAGCAGAAAAGTGTGAATAAACTGAATTAGGAGCATGAAAGCATATTGATTCCCAGATTCTGAAACCATAGTCAAAGTGTTTTACATTTGTAATTTATTTAAGACTTTTTTTTTTTTTTTTGCAAATACATTTGTAATGAATCTCCTTACATATTTTTATGCACGAGAGCTTAAGTTTTCCTGGACTTCCGTAAAACAACTTTTACTGCATCAAATTACTGCATTGCTTGATCTCTACCAGCACACACTCACAGCAGCCACACTCAAACACAACGAACAGCCCTAGGATTTCATAGCTCTGCAACAGATACTACAAAAACATTTCTCAAAATTAAATAGTTGTGAAAAAGAAAGCAAATGAAACGGTTTTGCCCTGCCTCCAGCATTTCACAACTGAAGTTGACTTAAAATTAGCACAATCTTCTGCAATACTTGTATTTCCATGTAAAACTTCTTCATAGAGAATTCATGCAGAATCGTGAGCTGTCAGCTCTGATCGCATTCACCAGCACACAGGCTTTAGACTCTATTTCATAATAGAAAAAGATGGCCAGCATTTTCCTGACAGAAGTATCATATATTTTTCAGTCAGTAAAAATTACAGAGAGAACTCAGTGTCAATGCATTTCCAATAGATAATAAGGACTGCAAATTATCAGACAAGGATTTTTTTTTTTTTCTGGTACATAGAACAAAAACTAGCACAATCTGCAGAACTTATTAACTAATCAGGTTTTAAACCCCTTCTTTGCAAGCTGCCGACATAGTCAGAGTACCCTATACATTGATCTTGTTCCAAAAGCACAGTAATCTTTATGCTGCAAGAATTATTGTTTTGTGTGCCATAGCGTACACTGCAAGGAAAAAAAAAAAAAAAAAGGAAAGGCATGTGCTGAACACACACAAAATATGCAGGATGGAAAAAGACCAAATGTAATTAAAGCTTATATGAAACCAGACATTCCTATTTGCAGAGCTCTGGCTGCATTTCTATGAGAAAGAATGCACAGAATTTCAAATCATGCTCTATTTAGACAATGTCAGAAGAAACCCACATTCCCCCCCCCCCCCAATCCCCCACCCCCAGACCCCAAAAAAAAAGAAAAAGCAATCCAAAGATACTGGTTTACATATTCCTCTCCAAACCAAGAAATCAAGTATCTCCCTCTCCCAGCTAATAGCTTATAAATTCAGACTTTAAACAAAGCAAAAAAAAAAAAAAAAAAAAAAAAAAAACAACACTTCTTTAAAACAGCAGAGGTCTGGGACAATCTTATTCACCACCATCCTGCAAAAAGCAGCCTTCCTGACTCTCTTTTTATTTATAGTTTTGACTAATAACTTGTTATTTATTGAACATTTTCCACTTCTGCAGACCTGTAAAAAAAAAAAAAAAAAAAAAAAAAAAAAAAAAAAAGAATCCTAATTCTCAAGCTTCCTACTTAGCACTGCCTCGCTGTTGATGATTTGTGCGGCTGTGTGTGCGTGCCTGTTTGAGAAATGGCGAGATAGGCTTAAAGTATTTTCCATTTCATCAAAGAGCATATATTACTTTCCTGGTTCGCTCAAATGTTGGTTTTATGCCCACCCCTTTTCAATCTGCCCATGTCTGAGATGCACAGTGCAGGCGTACAATCATGAGCAGCTTACGACACTCAGTGAACACTAGGTGCCTCTGCATGCTCTAGCAACATACTGCTCAGCTGAAGGGAAGGGATTCTTGCTGTCTCTCTCTGCTCTAAGCATCACCTAACAAGCAAAGCGAACAAAGAATGGGAAATAAAGCTACCCTTAGCCGGTCAGTGAATGAATGGTAATCTCTCTATGGAGTAAAGGTTGTGCCGGTCAATGGTCGTTGCAAATGATGGACATTAAACAGATTGACAAATCCTGTGGAGTCGTTAGTAAAGAGTTTGGAGTTTTTTTCACGCCACAGTGTTAACTGCAGAGAAAAGGACAGAGGGAGAAGGAGAAGATCAAGCTCATGTACATAGTTCTGAAACTTGCAGGTCCTAGGAGTCAGCTAAAAAGCTAGCTGGACAAGCCTTTCGCTCTTTGAGCAGAAGCGAAGTGAGACATTGTGAGCTTGCCAGCCTTGCACAAAATTGAAAGGGACTGAATTTGTAGCACAGAGGGGTCTTTTTTAGCTCTGCATATAATTAGTCCAAACACAAAGGAAGCAACTGAATGGAGGTTGTCACTCTCTGGAAAAGGGTGGGTAAGACACTTTTTAATTAAATTCTTTCATGAAGAAAGATTTTTTTTTCTTTGCTGCAGCATTTAACATGAACAAAATCACTATCATTTTACCTTTGAATGTCTGTGAACTTTAATGCTGCACAGCTCCTGCATGCTGTAAAGTGAAATATTTGCCTCTGTGTTTGTTCTGTTTGCTGTTTTGCTTTGGTTTTTTGGCTTTGTTTTGGTTTTTGTTTTTTTCCCTTAAATAAAATATGATGTAGAATTTGAAAAGATTCAATGGACATTCTCAAGCATATTTGGAAATATTCTTGCTAATGGATTTCCTTCTTATCGGTCTCTGTTTAAACTGGCTGCTGAGGAAGCCCCCGGGGTTGATATTGTGTACGCTGGGTATCTTTTCTAAAATGCTTCCAGCCGTGAATAGTGGGTGTCCACAGCTATGTCGGTGTGAGGGCAGGCTTTTGTACTGTGAATCACTGAATCTTACAGAGATGCCTCGCAACCTGTCGGGCATGATGGGCTTGTCTCTGCGGTACAACAGCCTTTCAGAGCTGCATGATGGACAGTTCACAGGGTTAATGCAGCTCACGTGGCTCTATCTGGATCACAATCACATTTGCTCAGTGGAGGGGAATGCCTTTCAAAAATTGCGGCGAGTTAAAGAGCTCACCCTGAGTTCCAACAAAATAACCCAACTGCCCAACACCACTTTCCGACCCATGCCAAACTTGCGCAGTGTGGATTTATCGTACAACAACCTACAGTCTTTGGAGCCTGACCTGTTTCACGGGCTGAGAAAACTAACAACTTTGCACATGCGGTCAAACGCCATCAAGTTTGTGCCAGTGAGAATTTTTCAGGACTGTCGCAGCCTGAAGTTTCTAGACATAGGATACAATCAGTTAAAGAGCCTGGCTCGAAACTCTTTTGCAGGCTTGTTCAAACTCACTGAGCTGCACCTCGAGCACAATGACTTGGTGAAGGTGAATTTAGCCCATTTTCCCAGGCTCATCTCCCTGCACTCTCTCTGCTTGCGAAGGAATAAAGTTACCATCGTAGTAAACACTTTAGACTGGATATGGCAACTGGAAAAAATGGATCTCTCCGGCAACGAAATCGAATACATCGAACCTCACGTTTTCGAAAGTGTACCTCACCTCAAATCCCTGCAGCTGGACTCCAACCGGCTGACCTACATCGACTCCCGAGTCCTCGACTCCTGGAAGTCCCTCACTAGCATCAGCCTTTCTGCAAACGCCTGGGATTGCAGCCGTAACGTTTGCGCCCTGGCCTCCTGGCTGAGCAACTTCAAGGGTCGCTACGACAGCAATCTGCTCTGTGCCACCCCTGAGTACGCGCAGGGCGAGGATGTTTTGGACGCGGTGTACGCTTTCCACTTGTGCGAAGACGCGGCGGACCCAACGAGCGTTAACACCTTCTCCCCGGTAACGAACAACAGCGACCAAACCTTCAGCTACGGCTCTGCCACCGCCACGTACGACGTGCAGGACAGCGAAGGGGACCTGACAACATACCCTATAACCATGACCATGCCCAGCGAGAACTCGGAGAATGCCGTTCAGATTCACAAGGTGGTGACGGGGACCATGGCACTGATTTTTTCCTTCCTCATCGTGGTTTTAGTGTTGTACGTCTCCTGGAAGTGCTTTCCAGCCAGCTTAAGGCAACTAAGACAGTGCTTTGTAACACAGCGCAGAAAGCAGAAGCAAAAACAGACCATGCATCAAATGGCTGCCATGTCAGCCCAGGAGTATTACGTTGATTACAAACCCAACCACATTGAGGGAGCCCTGGTGATCATTAATGAGTACGGATCTTGTTCCTGTCACCAGCAGCCAGCGAGGGAATGCGAGGTGTGATTTTCCTTTGGGATTTAAACAGTGTGCAACCAAATAACAGTGTGCAGGCAGACAGTGGCACGGGGGGGATTGCTGTGCTTTGCTGGTGATTTCTGACGTGCTCCTCTGCTGAAATTCTTAAGAGGGGCTGTCTAAAAGACTTAATATTTTAGCTTTATTGTGTCTTAAAATCTTCAGGACAGTCGATCTTAAGATTTCATATGCTAATACTCCCTTTGAAGATCTGTCAATATTCAGGAATCTGAGAGTGTAAAAAGGTACCAATTATTGATCTTTTGTAAACTAAGAAAACTGTTTAAAATAAAAAAAATAGCATTTACAGTTTTTACAGACTGGTGTATATTACATGAATTGTTCCCTGTATACAAAATGCAACAGTTTAACCTCTTTTTCTCCTCACACTGAGTGTTGAAATGAAAGTCTAGGAGCAAAGAAGCCACATAAAATAGCAAGCTTAAAATTAACCAGATGGCTTCACATTGTAATTAGTACACATTCACTTACATCATGTTACTGAAGATATGAAGCATGACACTGGAATTATATTTTTGTTAATGTGCTACCTGTAACTGGATGTCAGTACAACAAGGAGCCAGTCACCTCAGAAAGGCTAAAGTTTTGACCGTGTCCCTGGGGCAGGATTTCTGAGGATTTTTAAGTACAGCTCACTTGTTAGTTGCTGTAAGATCCATAAAAACTGCATCATAACCCCTGAAAGTATTTTGTATCAAAACTGAGCATATTGAAAAGTCTCACTTAAAAGAAAAAAAAAACAGCAACAAACAACAAAACCCAAACTGAAACACTGCCAAAAAAAAGTGCTTATCATCATCTTCTTTAAATCAAATAAGACGAAAAAAATATCTAAATTTAAGGGCTTTTACTAGTGTTTCCCACTTTTATGCTTGTTTTGAGATATACTAAGAGCAAAGAAACCCTTGCTTTGTGCACTGTGGTGCCATGGTGAATGGAGAAGAGCAATAGCTATTCTTTTCTCAGTGGTGAAACCTGTGTGTGTTGCAAGAGTAAAACCTCAGCTGTAACACTGTCAGAGTAAGAGAGTTATTAGAGCATACTTCTGGTTCCTATAGAAAACTGCTAGCAAAGCCTGTCTCGTGTCCTTCACTTTCACCACCAGCCTTCACTAACAAAACAACTCTAAAATCTCTGCAGAGGCTGAAAGTATACGAACCCTCCTTACTAATGACTGATAAATGGACTTGATGGATATAAGCACTGATTTAATAATGTAGAATCACACAGCTGTTTTATTTGACTGCCCTTAAATAAAGGCTTCCTTTCCTTGTATTTTGGATTTTTCATTCCAGTATGTGAACAACCTACTGACTGATCTTTTCACCAACTCTCATATTAATGAAGATGAGGTAGCTTTATAACATCAGGCAGAGCATCTTGAAATTTTCTTCATACAGCATTACATGCTAATAAAATGTTACGGTTAATGAATTGGGTAACATTTCTATGCTTTGAACATATTTCACTATCCTTAGATTACCACCAATAGTGGAAAAAAAATCAGAAATCTGAGATATATTTTAATTTAACACAGCTTTTTTTTCTTTATTATAGCATCAAAGTGACACCTACTCTTAAAAGGCTACAGCAGACTTATAAAGTAGAGAATAGACATGGAATAAACAATTTTTTTTTCCTGCATAGCAGGTTTTAGCCATTAATTTTAAACACAAAGAGTGGATTTTAATTTTTTTTTCTGATTGAAGCTATTTTTAGGGAGTCAGAACTTTCCTCTATTTGCTACATCTCATCATGTTTAATATTAAGTATGACAATGGCTTTTTAATACAAAAAAAAATTTAGTATGACTATAATGAAAGCAATGAGATTATGTACTGGGAGTGGACTTTTTCATAGAAAATTTAATGAAAATCAACTGCTATTTTACTAAAGCCATTGAAAATTCACCCACAGCTTTGAAACAAGCTAGCACTGTTAAAACTAGGCTTTTCTCTGTTTCAACAAATGCATATTTCTGTTTCTATGCCTCAAACCCACAAGGCCCTGATTCGTCATGAAACTCTCAAATGACCTGATGGGTTGAGTGTCCAGATATGAACCTAACAGTGAGGGCAGAGAGTAGGTAAGGAGCCCCTCGTTTCTTTGGGTGTCTGACCACATTCCAATAGAAAATATTTTATGCCATTTTAAATGAGGACCAAAATATACATATTATCCCCATTAAATCCTTCTCTGAAATCATTAGGGAATTTAACTGTGAAAAATTGGCTCTCTAACATTGGACTACATTATTTGTTCCTCAAATCAACATGCAGCACTGCAACCAGAAGAACTGATTACAGCTAGTTGCCAGGAATATTCCAAAATCATCCAAGATTGTTATGATATTGTCTGCATATGGTAAAAAAAAAAAAAAGAATTAGCTTTATTTCTATAGTGACCCCCTGTTGCTATAAGGAAACGTATTGGTGCAGTCATGGTTCTTGCCCTGGAAATTTGATGCAGGACTGATACCGACAAACAATCATCCTGTGGTTGTGTTTCTATGTATTTTTAACATATTTGTGGGCTGTATTTTAAACACACTAGTGATTGCACCCCTCTGGAATGATTCCTGCTGTTTATTGGTGTTAGCAACCTCAAGCTATGTTTGCAAAGACGTGAGCAATTCTGTCTTTGGAATTTATTCACCTCTGTGCTTCATGCATCTTGCATTGACAGCTCAAGTAAACTGAACAGAACATTTTTCTTTAAAGGTACAGTGATTGCCTAAGTGAGAACTGATTTCACTATTGCCTGTTGCCATTTCTCCTGAAGAGAGGTAATGACCACCAATGACTTGCCATCCTTAGCAGGATGATGGATGGATCTTCCATATAGAGCTCAGCATTTATTAAATTTCAGAAAACAATGCATTTCAAAATCTTCATGCAGAAATCTTTTCTAAGGAGAACATCTTCTAGAGACAACATCCTAATGATCTCCAGAGGATACCTGGAGATCTGGATACCCTCTGAATATCTAATGGTGGAAAGAGGGGTGTCACTGCTATTACATGGCACTCTACACCTAGTCTGAAAGCTTATGTGAAAAAATTATGGACTGTAAAGAAATAAAGGAGGAAGTATTTCATTTCAGTCCAGCTACTGCAAATCCAGTTACTCATCCTGCTCCAGGTTGCTTGCACTGGTATATATGAGAGTTATTATGTTTGTACTGTATTTATAGCAACTGCAGGGACAAATTTTCCCTTTCTTCCAAATCTCATGTTCACCAACTGTCCAAAGATATGTCATTCCCTCTCTGTTGATGCACTTATTCTGGCTTACGAAATGGCTCAAAAAAAAAAAAAAAGATGCTTTGGGGATTAGATGTAACAGTTTGTTGTCCAGAAGGTGTTTATGGAATACTGAAGGAATGAAATCTTTTTAAATATTCCCCTTTTAATGTTCCACTTAATAGGACTAATCTTCCTTTTATAGCTAGGTAATTAACATTATTTTCTTTTTATTTAAGTGTCTTTTAACATCCAAGACAGGGTGAAATGCAAGCAAAAGAACTACCTTTTTTTGAAGATGGTTAACACTACCAGTGTTACAGATCTCTAATATGCAATCTCTTGCTGCTAACATCAATACACGCTCACAGTGCACCCAGTGCTGAAGGAACTGTTGCTGTGTATGCTTTGAATGTATATAAGGGATGATTTATTTTCCATTCTGTCTTTTTCCTTCCTTTCTGTACTACTTTAAAGAAAAAGTTATATGAAACCACAGAATCAATGCTAATGTACCACATTCTGTTTCTGCCCTGAATATATAAAATACAAAGAAATTCTGTGTTTAAGCTGCAAATTCCCTCCTTTACCACACCGTTTGAGTACTGCAGGGGGTTAGACCAAGGGGATGATCTGTTCCTCCATGTGCACAGCACTACCTAGATGCTCTGTACCAGTCTGGAGATGTAGTCCCATGCCTAGTTCATAACTGCCTTGCATACGTGTGCCAGAGAAAGATAATTAATGATACCTAAGGATATTTTTGTATGCTTTAATATATTCTGTATGTTTTTACGGCTAAGGCATCGAGGGGCACTTGAAATGAGCCTCTTGGTTTTTTTTCTTTGGTTATGATAAAAGCCCCCTCATTTGCTTTTGAGATGGACTAATTTTGTTTCTTGTACGTGTCTCATTCTGCATTAGTAGGAGAAGGACATTCTGAATACCCCTCCCCTTCCCCCCAGCTTCTCCAATGATATTCAGAATGGCAAAAAAGGAGTATTAAATTGGGAAGCTTATTTCTTGTGCTATAATAATAATAACAGTAATAATAATAAAAGAAATGAAGAAGAGACAAAAGATGAGAGAACAGACTGGAGTAACAATAACTAAATCAAGTTGTTGCTGGCTCCCTTTGCCTTTTCTTTTTTAAAGATGGAAAAGCTAAAGGACTAGCACAGATGAAAAACCAGGGCTGAAGGTGGGCGGAGAAAGCAGTTTTAAAAACTGAGCAAGCAGGGATGAAACAGCTTCTGGCAAGGAGGGTACAACACTAAATAGCTTCATTGAGCAAGAAAGAGAAAAGGAAAGGGTGAAGGGACAGAATGAAAGGGAAAACACGAACCGGTGAGAAGGCAAGGGGACCACTGTGCACATAAGGAAAACAAGATTTTCCAGTGCCTTCACCTCCCACGTTGAAACTGTGGCAAGGACAACAGCAGAGATTTAAGAAAGATACCCAGCATCTCTCTCTGCCTCTCTTTTTCTCCCTGTCTTTTCAAACTCACAGTCACACACAAACACTCTCATTTACAGAGGCGCAGACAGACATGCTTTCCCAAACACGCATGCATGCAACCCCGTCATTTCCTCTGCCACCTCCCTGTCCCTGGGAGCACAATGTCCCCCTCATCCATCATTTTGTTTGCTGAAATCCAGCACCCTGCCTCTTCCACTAATTTTTTGGCTGGACTTCTTAGCTATACTAGTCACAGCTCTCTACAGACTTTCTAGAAAATCTGTTTTTACCTAAAATACCTCCTTTTTCCCCTCATATCTTAAGAAACATTCAGTTAGAGAAAGGAGTGATCTTGAGCCATAGCAGATTCTTCTGCTAATTATATCCACACTCGGTCTCCCTCATATTCAGCTTTCATATTCACAGCTATTATGACAAACAAATCTGAGATATTTTTGCTATATTCAGTTTATCATTATGCACCAAGGTTACACTTTTCCTTGACCTGCTCAACCCAGTCTAATATTAACAAATTGAGCGTTTATACGGGTTCCTTTCCAAGCATGAAGTTGATTAGGAATTTAGGAAATGTTGGTGATTTAAAGATTAACCTTTCATATAATTACCGACATAAACCAGAGCTATTAAAGTACTAGAAACAACTATTCAGAGTGTATTCTGCATAAAAAAAAAAAAAAAAATAATCACATTTCGAGCTATGCAAAAGACTTTCCATACCAGCCTGTTGATTGATTTTTTTTTTCATAGCAGAAAAACCTGGTGAAAGGAAAGGAGTAAGTGCAGTCTACCTCTAAAGTTATGTAGAGGAAAGCACAGCTACAAAAATGTTACAGAAACCAAGCAACAATCTTCTGCTGGCAAGACACAGCCTATAATTGGGTGGGTGGCTGTGAAGATCCAAGATGAATGCTGCAGAGCACTGCAATTTTATTGCAGTGTCTCTGCTTTAAAGTGAACATATTTGCAATGAAATCTGTATTTCTGCGAGAACAGGGCAATTGTTTTTGTTAAAAAGATAACATCACTTGTTGGCATTCAGACACAATTATTCAGCCTTTAAACCAATTACTGTTCTTTGCTTTTGCTGGTGTGATAGTTCGGTGAGACAGTCACATGTAACAGGCTGCATTGAAAGGAGTTTGAGTTCCAAGTACCCAGGTTTTCATTACAAGGGAAGAAATTCAGTTTAAAATAAATATCAGCTTTTCACCTTTTCCTCTCACCAGAAATCCAAATATGTACATCACTTATAGAAATTAGAGATAATTGGCAGTGGCTACAGGGTAATATTATGTGCGCCTGTGCTTGGCAAACAGCACCTACTATTCTGCTAAGGCACTTTTTATTTTAAACCATATCGCTGCTCTCGTGTTCTTCACATCCTCACCAGACACAGTAACTACTGCCAGAAAGATGTCTTTCAACACGGCTGCTATGGGAACATGATCAATTCGGTTCCATTTTTGAGGTAACAAAGACTGTATCCAAGATTTCAAAGGTAATGGGTAAGTATAAAAATCTATTTCATCATTGAACTACCATTTTTAGCACAGCAGATTTCTCTGACTGACATGGTTAGACAGTAAGGCTGGTCGTTCATTTGTTACAAACTTTGTTCTGGTCTTTTTCATGATTTATCTTTCTCCTAATAGCAAACCAGAGCACGACACCAGAGAGAGGTCTAAAAATTGTATTTTCAGTAAAATCTGAGATAAAAAAAAAATACATGGACATATCAAATTGATTTAAGGGTTTATCCAATGAAGGATGCAGCTTATATATACCAAATCTCTCTGAAGTAGAACATCTCTGTACCCTAGTGGTTACAATAAGGTATAAGCAAACACCCTTTTAATAGCTAGGGGACTCAAACTGAAAACAGATTTCTGATTATCTTTTAAAATATATACTTTCCCTCTAATTTTTATCCCTTCTTACCCCCTCTCCTGTTTTCATTCCCAGAACCTCACAAGCAGAGTGAATCAATAAGGGGGGAGGGAAGAGGGAAACCCTGAAAATCCCAAACTAAAAGTCCACAGCTACTGAATTCCAGAAGTTTTTGTTCTTTTAACAACTGCCAGCCCTTTGAAACACATCTGCTATCAACGTTTTTGCAATACAAGAGGTAAAGTGAGATCCCAGGAGTAAACCTGAATTTGTCTCTGTAGTTCAGTGCCTCTACTGACAGTCTGACTTGCTAAAAGAGCCTGGTAAATATTAAAGAATGTTAATTATAATGAGATAAACCATCTAGGGATTTTCCCCCCATCTTTTTTTTTAAATTTGGTTCCATACTAAAGTTTACTCTGACAGAAAATTTACTTCTCTGATCCAGATTATTTCCCAAAGCAATTTTTTCAATAGCAAACAGAAATTTGTGGCTGCTGCTAAAAGGTTTGCAATCCCCATGCTAAAGAGGCCATCACATGTCAAATGTTTACCTTAGTTTCATGTAAATGTCACTCCATATTGGACATTCTGTATTTCTTTACTGACATATGCAGCTGCCTCCATCTTGACGAACATTCCCCTTGCACTGTAGCTACCTTTACAAACAGCCCATAACCCAATGATACTGTCAGATCAAATTCCCAAACAACAACTGGATGTAATGAATTTATTATGTAATTGCTGTAGTCTAATAAATTGAATGTGAATCCTATGGCCTGAAAGAAAAGAAATAATGGAGACAATAAATGAGTAGAAGAAATGCATCTGACATACTCTCTATGGGGAAAAATACCCACAAAACTAAAACCACTGCATGGGACAATGCTTAAGCTTGCAGAAGATGGAGAGCGTTAGAGCATTGACTGCAAAAAGGTGAACTACACAGGATAGAGAAAATCACTGCTAAAAACTAAAGGGGAAAATTGAGAATGTGACAGTGCCCATCACAGATTAATCAGAAAGAGAATTAGGTGATAACCACCACAGGAGAAATTCATCAAGGGAAAAAAAAAGCACTGGGGTGATATTTGATGACAAAATGAGCATATACAAGCACATTAGCAATAGGCGAAACAGCAATCCATGGAGTCCCCATGAAGCCAACCCCAAGGTTATTTGTCTGTCCATCTTTGCTCTGTCATGATGGGCTTTTTGGTATGTTTTTAAAAATCTTGACTATTTTATTGTTATGCACAGAACCAGAACCTTGGAGACTCTGCTTTTTATTTTATGTGACATATGCTAAACCAATACTTGTTATTTAGATGGGTAGCACTTCCAGTCTGAAGTAAATCCTATTGTATTGGGTTTGTGAATATATTTCCCTGATTCCAGCAACTGTTAGGGATTACGTTTGGTTAATTCTAGTTGGTGGAATGCAGATCTTCCCCAAAAGTTCCTCTAAGTAGTTTTATGAAGTTACACTGTGTATCTGTCATTTAAAACAGAAGTTGAAAACTTTTCTCTTTTTTCCCTGGTTATCTTCTCCCATTGTGTAGAATAAACTAGCCCCAATCTGTCATTTTTCATTAGCAAAGGAGTCAAGCTACGGCTCTTAATGATAACTCTTAATGAGGATTTGATGAATAAGTCCTGAAAAATCAAACGAAACAAACACTAAAATCTATCTCAGATCTATTGTTTCCAGGTAGTAGATATTTTAGCAATTGGGAAATAAAAACCAAGGAGTTTAAAGCACTAGGGCATTTAAAACAATGAATCAAGACATCCAAATGGTGTTTATCAAGAATTTTTTTTAAAAAATAAAAATACTGAACTGGAGGAGTTAGTAAAAAAATATGAAGGTTTTTACTAAAAGTAGCTGTTGTACCAAAACCTGAATAACTAAAATACACTGCACTGCCCACAGTTTAGAGCTGATTAGAGATGACTGTAACAGACTGGTAAGTGTTCTCTCAGTAGCTAGTAAGTTCATTTCAAGATTTATTAAGCTCTGTAGGACCACACAATAGGGATAAATTGACTGGTCGTCTCTGAAGTAACATCATACTTCTGTAATAACCTACAGTCCTGACTGTCTAGACTCCTGGACTATCATAATAATATTTACTATACAAAAAAAGAGAAACTTTTTATTTGAACTTTTAGAGTCTTTGAAAAAAATGC